AACTCTGAGATCCGAGGTCTGAGTTCACTTCAGACAAAGGCCCTTCCGAAGTACCTCACAAAAGTCCAAAGTACCCCATCAAAGTACGAGGTACTTCGCCGAAGTCTGAGGTCTGAGGTATGAGGTCCGAGGTCTGAGGTTCCTTCAAACAAAGGCCCTTCCGAACCTTCACTTATCCATACCAGACACTTTCGACACTCATAACTCAATGATTTCTTATCCGTTTCAACAATTCTTGGGCTCGTTAAAACAAGTGTGTTGAGTTCTATCTATCAAAATCATAACTAAGTCAAGTCGTTTCTAATTGGAAATGTTATGAGGTATTTAATCTATCAGATCTCTCAAACTTCTCATTTGGAGAAAGAAAAAAAAAACTAGGTTACCACAATGCTGCAAGTTATGTCAAAGAAGCTTGGCAGTCCATGCCACCAAACTCTATCAAAAATGCACTACTGAAATCAAAACTAACGAGATTGAAAACCGATCTCGAAGCACTGAACAAGATGGAGGATTTGATGACCAAAGTTGCACAAGCTATTACATCTTTAAATCTTTATGTTGGCAAGAAGAACTTGAAGAATTTGTTCATGTCCATGATAACAACAATGAAATATTTGCAGCTCAAATTTTGAACTTTGAAGAGCTTAAGGAAACAATAAAGATTGCTGAAAAAAATCTGGATGATAGAAATGATGATGACATTCATAACTCTCAAGATTCAAATTTGGATATAGAAAATCACGTTGCATTTAAAAGATTCGAGTCACTTTATAAACAAGCTCTTGATATAGAGGACAAGTTGCTATGTTAAGAAGTTCATGAAGAGCCGAAGGAAAAATGAAGATATTAAACAATTGTTTGATCTTTTCATAGCAAGGTGTGGATTGTCACTTTGAAATCAAAACTAAAAATCATACAAAACTTGCGCCAAATGAGAATTCATGAAATGTTGAACTAAATTAAACTGATACGTGTTTTGTTACTTTACATTGGTAGGAGAGTCTCTACTTTCAGGTCCGGGCCGGATGCCACTGCGAGGATGACGACTCCCATGCGATTGTGCCATAGACAGGAAGCAGATGGGAGGAAGGGGTATAGAGATATGCATCAATACCCGATTAACATAATTTATGGGCTTCATTGGCTAAATAAAGGGTTTAAATAACAAGGTTTTGAATGATCAAAATCATATACTGTAGGTCATTGGTCTCAAATTAGTTCTTTCAGTTTGAGATTTCTTTATTATCTGGTCTAGAGAAAATAAGTTCATCTGTTGAATCAATTATTCACATGAATTTCTTGGATACAAAAGCTTTGAAGTTAATCATAGGGAAGTTTATTTTAATATATTTTTTCAACTGTATTCAAGTTCATGAAAAAAATTCCGGTTTTTACATTTTTTTTGGTAAAACTGAAGGTGGTAGATTCAGTTTGATGCGTGCATTATTATGCTTCACCCGGTCTCCCGCTGTATGGGAGATCTCTATGTGAGCAATGCTAGCACTGTAGAAGTGCACGAATGTTGACCTTCTTGCCCGGCAGGGTATGGCGCTCGTTTGCAGCTGAGCTACACAGAAACCTCTTGACAAAGGGACAGATGTACTACTTCACGAGTTACCTCAAGACTATGAAGGCCAGAGCAGCAAGAATCAGGACATCTGTAACCTCAAGAAATCAAAGTCAATTTAGTTTACAATATTGGGCAGAAACCATCTGGACCTTGATAACCCGACCAAGCTCTTTGGACACAAAGACAGACTGCCCGAGATTGGTACTTCCGAGAGGTCAATACAGTGAGCAAGGTTTGTGGGAAAAGGCAGGCTAGATCTTGATGTACTGTACCTGATAATAGTACCTACCGCTGCTGGAGTTTCTTCCACCACCAGCAGCAACTTGTTCATTAGCTCTCATGCTGAGTAACACTCCCGGCATCAGAAACTTGTGCCAAGTCTCTTGATGAACGTCCGAAACTTCCATTTCAAGGTGTATCGTACTTGGATCTTATGTTGGTTCGAGAACTGTCTAGATGACAACGGCATTAGGATAGGTTTAAGGTGGGTCCGTGAGGGGCCTGTATTTTATTCGGCATGAGATGGCTGTAGCAGATGTGTCCAGTCGAGCCTATGCATCTACTGATTGATTGTGGCAAATGCGGCAAACGTATGAAGGAAGACAAGAGTATCATCCACTGATGCAAATTATCAACTCTTTAATATTACTCACTGAGAGTGGAATCTGGCTGACTATCAGCTGACGATGAACGACTTCGTATTTAAGTGTCAAGAATCTGCTGATTCGTGTTCTCACACGATTGAATGTTGAAGCAACCAAGAGAACCGGTCAATTTGTTTACCTGACTTGAAGTACTTGCCTTACATAATCAGGGTAAACGGCCAAACCAAACCAAACCAAACCGGTAATGTAGCCGCCGCAATTCCGGATCCTGATCCCAGAATCAGGGGAGGCCATCTGAAGGCATTGCTTTGCTTTTGGAGCAATGCCTTACCCTAAGGCATTCTGAAGTAATAATTCTTAAAATATTCCGGTACGTGCATAGACTAGAAGAGATCTTAAATATATAAGGACGAAGCATCTAAAGGTATTGGAAAACTCCGAATAGAGGCAGCCTGGATGTGCGGACATGAGCATTTGATCAAACTTTCATGCATTTGAATCTAACGAGCGACTCATCTCTAGTCTTGTTGCGTACGTCTACTAGAGATATGCAATATGACTTCGTCAATTTCATGCACAATTTGTCTTCATAACTTCATCCAGATAGAAAGGTACACATGGCCCGAAGACCTGACTGGAATTCAGTTGTCCGAGTCCAGAATCGTCAGAGGAAGGTCGAGTCACATAAAGATAGGTCAGGTTTCGGACGGTATATATGACATTGAACGACTTAGCAATCTTATCATGTTGAGACTTTTCTCATCGCCTACTTGCGCAACTCCGAATGTTCTTCAGGTTCGGGGCGTGTCATTCATTATGATACATCTACTATCCATTAAAATCTGGGCCAAGAGTGTCTTGAATTAATTGTTCAAATCTCAAATTCCAAGAGGAAACTTTGTTGGAGTTTACCGCAAGTTGTAAATTCGTGATGTGTATCATCCTGAAGCTATGTTTTGGAGCTTAATTGGCAAAAGTTTTGGAGAGGAAGAGCAACAAGATATGAGAGAGTAATCTACTTTTAATATTTTGAATATATTGAAAAACCAGGGAGTCTCAACATAAGCTTAGATGATCATCTAAGCTTATGTTGAGAAAAATTTGCATCTCTCTTTTGCTTGTTGGCGGAATAAGCTTCTAGTTGATTTCAAGGTTGGATGATGGAGTAAAAGATTGTACTACAAGTTACTCAAGTGCAAGGAAACAAATGTACGTGCATTTGGTCTCATCAGTTTGTATGTTCATCTTCATTTATGAAGATAAAATGCCATGATAAATAAGGGGGTATAGATTGATACATTGCGGAGTTTCAAAACCTCAACTTTTAGAACCTGAAATTTTTTTTTAAGCATCATAGATAATGGAAAAAATGTTCTATCTAAAGGTGACTAAAACATGCTAGAATTTTGGATCAGTTTACTGCTTGTTCATCACAAATAATTGATATCTAGTTTAAAGTTAAAGGTTTACAATTCTTTACAAATTAACAACCTTATATCAAAATATAATTATTGAGCAATGCAAGAAGACAAATAAAGGATTAAATGTTTTAACTCAAATTTTCACTGAAAAGAAGATTTAAAATTATGTGATGGGTAAAAGAGAAAATGTTTTTATTTCCCATGAACGATTTTTTTTTATCTGAAATGTATTGTCGAAATTTAATTCTAAGCTATATGAACAAAAAGTCTCTATCATTATTATCTCAACAATCTCAGTGATGATTTAGGAATAAATGATATCCAAAAAATATAAATATGTCTGCACTTTGAGTTAATTAGTTTGTTGTAAATAACATATGAATAAAGAGAAAATAATGAAATAAAATATTTTTCACAAATATATTTTATATTACATGATGAAAAATACTGACAGCAATGATAGTAGAAGTTAATGAAATCTCTGAATAAATCTGACTAATTTGATTATATTTAGTTATTCTAAACTCCCTGTGACATATGTTAGGATTTCAAATAAAGTACTTTGTGTTTTCTGCACATAATTTTGTTGAGTTCATCTATGTTTTAGATGTGTAAATTTTTTTTATATATTTTTGCGATTGTGAATTTAAATCAAGGATAACAATTGATATATTAGCAGATACAAATACAAAATCAAATTTAGATGCATTAGTGTTAGATCTTTCTATAAATTTAAGATTATAAATTTCCAAAAGAAAATAAAATTTTAAAAATTAAAAAAAATTCGCGGTTTTAAAAAGTTAGTGAGGTATGTTTTAGAAATTTTTTAAGGATTAAGAATGAAGAATTTAGAATTTTTGTCAGCGCTATATCAATTTTTTTTTCTATGTTTTAGAAATGAACTTGTATCTTCTGAAGAATTTTGAACTTTTTAATATTTTTGTTGGTATCTTCAGATTTTTCATAGTTAAAAAGATTAGATAATGTTATTAAAATCTTCTCAAAAAGTGTTAACTGAACAAGGTAAATAATGCAAGATACAAGTACTCAATGAAAAAAAAAATTAAACCTAGAGTGCCGTTATACAAAATTATAAAAATTTTGTGCAAATAAAGGACAAATTTACGAAGAAAGTCATTATTATCTTACATGAAAGTGAATAATAATTTTCATTTAACTTATTTACGTTTGTATGATTATTTGTTTCACCGAATTTGTAGTATCAATCAATTTCAAGATATCTAAATAAAAAAAAGTAGGATGAATAAAAATAGCATACATAAACATTGGGGTGGCAGTAGTGGGGTGGGGTGAGGAGACTGAAGGCGCGAAAGTCGCAGAGCCGTTTGCAAGCAAGCATGACGAGCCTCGTCAAAGGTGGGAATAGAAACAAAAGCAATCATGAATTCTGGGGTCCTTGATGCATTTGAGAATACTCTACTTTATTTCCGGACCCGGTGGTGCGAGAACACAATGTCTTCGATCTGCTACTCTGCTTCTGATCTGTCTTCGAGTACGCTCGGGGCCCGCCCACACGAGATGCGAACATTTAAAATTCAAACCACCCTTTTGCGATGCAAGCAAGCGCAGCTTTGCACGCTGAAATGTGGAGAGGCGTATAGTGACAGTGCAGGAATCGTCCCAAACATCCAGGCTTTTTGCAAGTCTGAGATTATAAAGACTCCTCCCTATTCAGACCTTTAGGATGCCTGGAGGGGGTTCCACGGCAGAAGGTGATCGAGTGATTACCAACAGGTCGGACGCAGCTAGAAGAAATAAAACTGTAGCAGGGTAGCACTAGAACTGATCCTGGGATACTTCAAGTGAAGTCTGCACGACTCGTAAGGTCTTCTGGTTCTTCAGCCGCCATCACATATCTAGGCTAATCAAGGTCAGCGTTAGATGATGGTAAATTACGTTTGAACTGTTTTTTTTTTAGATTGTTCTGCTCGTACGAAATTTGAACTGGAGTCACAGCTCAGTTTTGGTCGTATAACTCCATCCTTCGTCCACTTCCACAACATCCTCGTCTCCAGCTCCTTTCCCTTCTTGTTTTTTAAGATTTCCAGCGAGGAAGAATCTGAGCAAAATCCGAAGCCAGTGTCAATCTTGTGGAGGACTTGCGTCTCAATTCAGAGTCAGAGGATGTCTTGAAATTTGGAGAAGAGTTTCGTTCCTCGAGTGAATTCTTGTTTTCAAAAATGCTCTAATGAAACCGGTTCTCGCCATGGTTCACTTAGTCAACTTAGACGACCGGATGTCGTTACTGTCCTGAAATTTGCGCTTTTTTTAAATCTGAATTCCAATCTGCTCGTTTCATGTTTCTAGTGAAAATTCTTTCAGATTGAAAGTCGGCGTGTCGTGGGCGGCGTCTATCTATTGCAGAAGCAGAAGCAGTCGGTGCTGATGAGGATGAGTAGCACATGGGCACAAAGGCAATTAGGATTGATTACCTTCAGTACGTCTTGAGAGCCAGTGCGTGCATCAGACTTCACTCCGTTCGTCACCATCGTTCTCGAGTGTAATCAAGCTAAGCTAGCTTCCAAGATTTTCAAGTCTGCGGTCGTAGAATAGGTATCGATCGCAATCTTCGTCGCAGTTTGGGAAATTCTTCAGCCTGATTTGCAAAATTGCTGGACTGAAGACATCAGTTCAGCGAGTACACCAGCCAGCGTCTTCAGATTTCCTTCTGCTCACAATGTGTAATTTCCAAAACCTGTGACAGAATTCTATGCGGCTTCCGCATGAATATATTAAATTCATAGAGCGTCAACATCTCCTGATGAAGGTGAATAAGACTCAGTCAACAAACTCTTCCAGATTTCAAAGAAAAACTTTAAAAAACGGAAGTTCCCGCAGGGAGTCACGTTCTTCATGAAGCTGACGTGACTTGTGCTCGTCTGAATCAGTTGTATGCATCAAAAGCTCATGCGCAAGCAATTTCTCCTTCTGAGTTTCCGAGCCGTGTAAACCATGCGCGGTTGCAGAGTACTCTAGCTTCCATGGCTTGGACGAGGGATACTCCCAAACTGTCACAACTTCGCAGGTCTCACTTCTACACAGGCAACATCGAGAAGGCGAAACAGCTGGAGTTCAGAGTGACAACTTTTTGGGCCGCGACTCTTCTTTTCAGCCTGCTCGCTTCCACCGTCTTGTCTAAGTCTCCAGAAGGTACGCACGCATGCATTTACATCTCCGAATGTGTTATTTGTTCACTTATGTCCACTCTTCGCTCCAGTAGACCTCCTTCAGCTTTGCAGGCTAGAGTTCACGAGGGCAACTCGAGATTCCGAAATCTCCCCATAAGGTTTGCGCTTGAGTCAAAGAAAGGAAGAGATCCATTCTTCTTCTGCAAATGCTTCAGGGTCTGACTGATGGATGGTGTGTAAGAGATATGTGGATCGTAGTCATGAATTCTGGAAAGTCTCATGGCGACAGGCCTCGCCTCAGGCAGAGGGAAGGAAGTGCTTAAAGTCCTGAGTCTCAGGGGCAACGAGATAATTGGAAAGTAAATGCTCTCTGTACCCGACGAGAGTCTCTGGCAGGGGAGGGGAGATGAAATCTTCCGAGCTTGTGGACAGAGGTTCTGGGATTCTGAGCTTTGTGTGAAGTGGCAACTAAAACTCGGCGGAGCTGATGAATTGATGCGCAGGCTTTGTGACCCTCAATTGCGGAGGCGTGGCCTTCACGGATCCGGTCACGGGTTTGGAATGGGAGAACGATGCGCGATTTATCGAGGCATACGACGACCTGCGCGCGGAGAGGGTCCTGATCAACGCCAGCGTGAATCTCGAACCCAGCACGAGTCCTGTGGACAACGGGGAGAGCTTGAAGGATGCGTCGATTTTCTACCCGACAGGCCCCATACCGAGATCGAAGTTCTGCTATGATCTGCCGATTTTCAACTACTCAACCGAGGAGCCAAGGAACTACCTCCTCCGCGCGACGTTTCCGAGCAGCAATCTGACCACCGAGGCCACGAATGCCAAAGGAGACAATGTATCCCTGAGCACTTACAGCATGCGCTTCTACTTCACCGTGGACTCGACGTACATCTCCACCATCGAGCTGCAGGAAAACCAACCTCAGATCCTCGAGCTCGTCATCACCGCGTTCGAGGCGGAGGTGTACGTGTGCCTGGTCCCTCTCGAAGACAGATCGTCCATGCCGGCCATTTCCGCACTGGAGCTGCGCCCCTTTGCACTTGGCATGTATCCTCGAGTCGATTCTGGGATGCTCAAAGACTCCATCACGACCTACTTCCTGACAGTTGCCCGGCTCAATTTTGGAGGCGACATCCAGTTGAGGTACGACTTGCTTCAGGTCCACGGTCGCTGAGTCGGTGCGATCATTTACAACTATGTTATGCTGGCCACAACTTGAGGTGTCTCAGCGGCTGCTGCTGCGGCGCCATGGCTGTGACTGATCGAGAGCGTTCGTTTTGTACAGATATCCCGTTGACAAGTACGACCGAATATGGGCTCCTGCGAAGATTCCCAGCGGTGAAAAGCAATTCAGGTCTAGAACGAATGTTTCGCGTGTTCATATTCCACATTATGCGCAGATTGATATGCCGGATGAGGTGATGAGCACAGCCTGGGTTGCGACGCAGTTGGAGAATAACGTGACGTTTGAGTTAAATTTGACGGGAGTGAGAGCAATGCGAGCCGTCCCTAGTTTCTATTTCAGCCTCCTCTTCTACGAGATGCTGGAGACTGCCAATAACACTCGGTTTGTCAACATATATCAGGACGACCCAGATGACCGAAAGATTTTCAATGACTTACACATTTTTAACTACAGATGGCGGAATGTCTATAGCAGGAGGTGGACTTTTACGACGAATGCTCCCACCTTCAAAATCAGAGCAAATGGCACGAGCCCAAACCCCGGATTGATCAATGCAGCAGAGTTTTATGGAGAATTTGATGCTGTGGTATGGAGGACATTCCAGAACGATTGTAAGAACGCCGTAAGATAATGCCATACTCTCTGTACTCAGCTGTATTTTTGCTCATATATTAACAAGCGTGTGGACAATCCTGGCAGTATCTGAAACTGCTGGCAAGTGGATTTCCATGAGATCTCAGTAGAGAACAATTGATCGCTGAATCGACTCTGAAGTTGATGGTGCTCGGTCTGCAACGTCTGATGATCTGGAAACTTTGAAGTATACAGCTTTAAGATTTTAATTTTTTATGTGTGTTGTAATTTTCAGCTAGCACCCTTAAAACCTTTTCCCTGAGCGCTCCCAGTTTACTGGATACAGCCGGCGATCCTTGCCTGCCGGTCCCATGGGCCTGGGTGGTCTGCAGCATCGAAACACCACCTCGAGTTACACAGATGTAAGTGGGCTCTCAACTCTAGTACACGTCCAAAGAAAGATGTACAAGCGCTTGGAAATTCCTCTCTTGATATTTATTGAGCAGATTGACAGTCCAAAAGTTCGTATTGATCATTCAGAAGAAGCCTTTGAAGCATCTGGAGAACACGGGCAGAATTGAAGAAATCACTGATGCTAAGCGAAAGTGCACGAGGTAAATCAACTGAGACGAACTCTACGCTTTTGCAGAAATATTACGAGCAGAGGCGTGGGCGGAAATTTGCCCACAGATTTTGGACAGTTGGATCGTCTGACCATTTTGGATTTGTCTAACAATTCATTTCGTGGTCTCGTGCCGGCGTCCCTGCAGAATGTCACGACCCTAACAGCAATGTAAGAAGTAATCGCAACTCTGAAGTGTTTGGATTTTACTAATTTTTGGCTACTTAATGATGACTTGATCTGCTCACTTGTATATTGCTCTCGACGAGAGCCTCTCGTCAACATTGCCACATTGACTTGTGTGGTCTATAATTTAGAGCTCATTGATGCTTTGGTGCATCAGGTCTGCCGTGATCGATTTGGCAAAAGTTCACACAACTTTTCCAATTAGTTGTGTAATCAAACGTATCATTCGAAAAACTAAGCTAATTTTAGCGTAGTAATCTCAAGCATCTTTTCTGTGAACTTTAGGAACTTAGGAGGGAACGAGCTTGAAGGTGAAATTCCAGACTTTCCGCCGTTGGCATTTCAGAATCTGGAAAGACTGTAAGTACCTTAAACCTTCGCTCATTCTAAGCAGGATGGCAGAGTATTTATTCATGGCTAAAGAAGTAGTTGGAGTACTCGATATAGCCGTTGGCACACAACAGGATGATCCAGTATTTTCCAGCTGAACTCATCCAGTGTTTCACTCTAGTTCTGACTTCTGCGTTATTTTTGAATTGGATCAGTTAGATGACCTTCTTGTCTATTTACTTGCAGATCTTTCTCCAACAATAGGCTCAAAGGGAACCTATCCTCGCTTGTCAACTCACTGGCTGAACCTCTTTTCAACCTGTAAGTTGCACTATTTACGCTGTTTTTTTTGGATGCAGTCATCTTCTCCTAACATTACTCTTGGTTTAGACAGCGATTGAGGTTGTGATGATGCTGTATCTTCATGTTAGCAAAACATCAAACATACGCTGTCAATGTCTGTGCTGTCTGATGTTTGCCTAACACACATAGTTGCGAGAAGCACATTTCACTTACAAGTTTTTTTTAAATTCTTTTTCTCACACGACTCTGCTCATTCGACTCATATGGAATTCCTGTGGATCATTGATAACTTTGCCGTCCCTCTTACATAAAAACCTTTAGAAAATCTTACTGAAATCTATAGGCGATCGTTATCGCTAGCAGCTGAGTTCATTGTCGCTTGATAATGTCTGCATTACAGAAACATAGTTGGGAGAAGTACTTTTCACATCTTACTTTTTTGACTGAAGATGCTGCCATGAAAGCAGAAAGCTGAAAGCTGAGCCACATTTTGTTCGCACCCCAGTAATCCTACGTGGAGTTTTTCTCTACTGAAGTGACTTTATACCTCCTTCTAAGCGAGCATGAAGTTCATACTCCCTTCTTATTTACGTGTCTCATCTGTTATACAGAGACCTCAGTAGAAATTTCTTCAGCGGAGCCATACCTACGGAGATAGAGAAACTGAAGAATCTGCAGAATATGGACTTATCAAGCAATCGACTAACTGGGGAGCTGACTTTTGACCTGAACAAACTCTCAACCTTAAAATATCTGTAAGTGAAGCTAAACGTCTGTTTAACTACTAACCTGTCAACCTCATCAAGGGACTCAAGTGTTCGAAACTCCTTGAAATTTTTCAGTTTATTCTCGTTTTCAATGGTGAAGAATACCGCCTCGTTGCTATACATTCAAATGACGTGAGCACATATGTACGTACAGAAATCTGAGCAGTAACGTTCTGAAGGGAACAGTTCCCAGCACCTTATGGAGCAGTTCCAGCCTTCAACTGGTGTGAGTTTCATATTCTTATCCTTATCCGAGTAAGATGTCTTTGTTTTCTATTTGACGATGTTGGATTTACATAGCTTGTAAACCTATATTGATCTTTAATGTCTTTAAGACTGATCGATCCAAAAATGCAGTTTTGAAAATTTGGAAGGAGGAAATTATAATACTCAGATATATGAGACCGGATTCCTGAACCGATTTGAGTTAATGAATTTTCAGTATCTTGTACACATTGTAGTACTTGAATCACGAAGGAAGGATTAGTTAACCTCTCCATATGTGTATTTCTGTTTCAGAAGCTCTTCAAAATCTAGTAGGTACCGTAATTATTATAGCAGTTTGATATCAAGAGAAACATAAGCATTCGGTTCTTCGTCCCTGGTCCAGAAGAAGCTCCTCACGGCACCACACTTCATTTCTACGTCGTCTCTCCGACAGAGTACTCACTAAGTTGATGCTTACACAATGCAGAGATCTGAGTAATAACGAGTTCGAGACTTTGAATCTGACAACATGGTATCAAGGTGTCCTGAAGACAAAAAGCCTGGAAGCATCTGCAGTTCTTCGGCAGGTCAAGTTGCAGGGGAATCAAATCAAGGAGATTGTACCCGCAAATTTGATTGATCTGGACAGCATAATCCCAACCCCATCAACTAATGAACAGCAGAGTTCACTACAAACTCCGCTCGGTTTCATTTTGTAAGTTTCAAGCACTCAATTGATACGAGGTTAAGCACTTGTCTACGCTCGCAATGCCGGTTTCACAAGTTTCCTTTAGATTACATTTGCTCGTACCATGCGCTACCCTCTAGCTTAAGTCGGAGAGTTTGAAATTCATGAATTTTGGTCGATAGATTGAGAAGGACGAAAAGAGAATCTAATCTGAGCCTTGCTGTTTATGAACATCATAGGCTCACAGATAGTCCTTGGTGCATTGATCGTGAAGCAAACAATTCAAGTTTGATCGAAAGATATTTATGTCGTTCAAACGAGCACGTTAACTTCTGGCTGCAGCCCCGGAGTAAGTTCCTGCCTTGTAACATCCACACTTTGTTCACTGGATTCTCTGAGAATTTCCAATTGTGTATATCACAAAATAACGACCTTAAATGTGAAATATTGTGTAGTTGATAATGACGGCGTCAGTACGAGAACATTGGTCATCGTGGGCGTAGTATCTGGACTGGTGTTATTGTTTATGGCCTGCTTAGTTGCATATTTCTTGTACAGAATTCGGAGACGAACTCGAGAGCTACACCAAATACAGGAAGGTTAGTTCTCTCGCAATGTTGAGCGCAATCACCAGGACTCAATAATGAATGCAAATTCTACTTCGAACCTAAGCTTCGTAAGTAGAAGAAGAGGAAGATTTCCATTCTTTTGATTCTGAGCGCAAACGATCTTCCTCTATGCAGCTCTGGAGAAAGAGCACGTAAAGCCACCGTTCTTCAGCTACGATGACCTCAAGACGGCTACAAGCAATTTCTCACATGACAATATACTGGGAAAAGGTGGATATGGCACTGTATACAAGGTACTGCACTAGTCATGAGCATGAAAGTGAGTCACAGTTGTGGCTGTAAAATAAACTAGTCACCCTCGTCTGCTGTAGCCCAAGAGCCTTCGTGTTTTCAAACGCGAAGATTCTGAAAACTACCGTTCAAAGGATTAGAATGAATGACATATCCACTGAATTTAATCAGGACAATACGTAGGTGCTCAAACTTACGGTTGGTATTGCATCTCTTTGAACAGGCAGTACTTGAAGACGGAAGCATTGTAGCTGTGAAGAAACTCCATCCAACTGAGCAAAATACAGCCGAATTCTTTAGAGAAATGGTGAACATTACGGGTATCAAACACAGAAATCTTATTCAACTTCTGGGATGTTGTGTAAGAGAGAAGCAGCAACGCATGCTAGTTTACGAGTTCGCGGAGAATAGGAGCCTTGCAGAGGCTTTGTGGGGTACGCCTCTTCACTCATCTGTCATCTTATCATGAAAGTGCTGTCAAACGACTGTTCGCAATTTTACACAAATGGTAAAAAATGCCTGTAGAATCAGGCCCAGGTCAAAAAGAAAGAGAAAGTTGAGTCTTCGGAATTTTGTGTTCGTGGATCGCCTTCCATCGGTCTTTCTGGATTCCAAGTTCTATCCTACCGGATGTGTGTTAGGAATTGCATCGTTATTCAGAGTTTGCACAGATGAACTTTATAGATTCCGTTATGGCTGAGGTGCTTGATGAGCAACATTATAACGAAATCTATGTCATAGACTTTTGTTCGATACATAGATGATAGTTATTGACGTCCACTCCACTCCACTCCACTCCACTCCACTCCACACTCACTTCTAGGTCTCGAGAAACTTTTCGTACTGAGTTGGGAACAGCGGTTCAAAATATGCGTTGGAATAGCCCGTGGTCTTGCTTATTTACACGAAGAGTTGCAGCCGAAGATGATTCACAGGTCAGACAATTCAGGACGCGATTCATATTTGTGTGCCAGAAACCATTAGTTTAGATTGATTCTTATCGTGAAACAGAGCTTGTAAATTAGGAGGAGTAGGTTGCGTCCAAAGGAGGTCATTCACACACCCACTTTGCAACTGTATTTATCTTTAGCCAGGATTCAGACCTCTAAGTAGAACTTGAGTTTTACTACTACACATAAACGTGTACTGACGCCTCCAAATCGCTCCACAGAGATATCAAACCTCAGAACATTCTTCTGGACAAGGACTATAATGCAAAGATTGCTGATTTTGGATTAGTCAGACCCGCTCACACGGACGACACTCTAGTCACGGTCAACATCGGTGGAACAAGGTCAGATATGAGGGATGAAATTGTTAAATGATCACACTTCAGGAAATTTATCCTTTTTCTAGTTTTGCTTCGGGCACCGTAATACAAGCCACTGACAGTTTGGTTCTCTTGGTGAACATTCCAGGGGCTACTTCTCACCGGAGTATGCAATAGAGGGCGTGGTATCGGAGAAACTGGACGTTTATAGCTTCGGCATTGTTCTGTTGGAGATTGTTTCCGGGAGGCTTTGCATCAGTTATAGGATGTCTGCAGAACGAATTTATCTTCGAGCCTGGGTGAGTTATGTTTAATTATATTCTAGCTGACCTATACTCTTCATATTTTGAATAATGTTGCACAGTCGATTATGATTTCTACTAGATGTACCGCCACCCTGATGATGGTTCCATTAATTTCACTAAATTTGACGTACAGTGGTATAACTCCAATGCATGGGAAACCCTCGTTTGGGATATGACTAACCACTCTAATTCTCTAGATAGATCCAATCTAGTCACTCGCTATGTTTGTACTTTTAACTATGTTTCCTAACAAACATATCAAACTTGAACCCTGGAGTCATTGAGTACTAACGTGGGATTTGGCTGCCAAGATTGACCTAAACCCTGTGGTAAATTAGTGGTTATGTTGAAAACAAGAACTAAATTCACTCTTCATACTGCCATTTAAATTATAAATATAGATAGAAACTCAATATGCAGACGATAATTAGATTTCTTATTGTGTGAACTTGATTCAAGAATATCCATAAGCATGTCTCACTCCCTATACAAGTTGTCATACATTGAATATGGCAATGTATAGGTGGAACATATTATTCATACAAAAATGGACTTCTTTGACTTGTGATGTACAGCTTTGGTTGTGGAAAACATACCAATTTTACGAACTTAGGCATGGCCTACGAGGTTAATCTACTTAAGATGCTGGCAAACTGATCTTCTGATACATCATGCTCTTTATCATGACCATGTGAGATGTGCAGGCTGTGGCCTTGTACGAAGACGGAAATTTGCTGGATCTGGTCGATGAGGACCTCAGGGGGGCATATAATGAAGAAGAGGTTTTGCTGGTCCTGGAGACGGCGCTGTCTTGTCTTCAAGTGGATCCCAAGAAGCGTCCAACTATGTCTCAAGCGATGAACTTGTTTATGAAACATGCGGATGTAGCTACCGAAATCGTCAAAGAGCTCAGGGGCAACAGGACAAACTTGGGGGATATAATGGAAGATAGGAGACCTCACATCACTCATGAAAATGAGGAGCGTACGTTGATATCTAGTAACCAGTCTAGATCACACGTCATGGAGCTCACAGAAATGTATCCTAGGTAATTAGAAATAATCACAACCATGAAGTAGGCTTTTTGCATAAATGCAAAAAGCCTCCTTCATGATCTAGATCATAAAGAATGCAATGTCCTTCCTTTTCGTCAAATTTGGAACACGAGTTGAGCACAAGAAGTAGCTCTATTTGCATTAGACCAGTTTAAATGAGTACAAGTCTTTATGATCTAGAATTCTATATGATCATTCTATAAATAATATTCTTTTTGGCATTATTTTGTACATTATATTATTACTGGTGTATATACGTAATCACAAACCGCATATTTGCAATACAAGAAAAACTTATTGTATACGTATATGTAGTATACATCTGAAATCAATTTCATAAATCTGGGCTGGACATCTTTTGGCGAAGCTTCAAATTTTTGGATATGTTTTGGCGAAGCTTCATTTTTTGACTTACTTTATGATTCTCCAGAAGACTTCATACAATGTGAATTCGTGTTCCATGCTAAGTCGTGAAAGAAATTCATTCAATGAACGGGAGTTCAAATTAACATGAGCATAAAAGAATCATGGATTTTGACAAGGTGACTCCATCTATGAGAGTCACGTGTTTTCTCTTGGCAAATAAGTTTATCGTTACATGAGAATGTACAATCTCACTAAGTTTCAGGTGAAAGGTTGCCACCGCTTCAGATTCACCGGGTTAGTTCCAAGAACCATGATTTTGTTTGCTGAGACCACATAGCGATGCAGGCCGAAGACTTGTAGCAAAGTAATTTCACCTCAGACTGTGATGGTGATGGGACCAATGTTACTGCAAAACGCAAAGGAATCAAAATGGTCTCGCCCATATCCTGCCCTCCGATTGATTGGAAAGATTGGAAATAGTTTTGCCTACTCTAAGCTGATCATCCCTATGTATCCAGTCTCGGAAATATTGTCGCTTTGGAAGTGATTCTTGATAAATTCTGGGATTCATGGGGAGTATGCTTGAAGAATTCTGATGTCTGAGCCTTGAGCAAATCCTGACGGGAATACCGACCGAATCCAAATTCCTCATCTCATGCAGTTTATCCGAATTTGGAGGTGGTGATCCAATGTAATTCTACTCTTCTTCCAGAATCAGGGATCCATTTATTATTGTGATGTAACGAGAGAGCCGCCTCTCACCGAAAAGGAGATACAGCGTGAACGTGAAGAAACTCAAAATCACATAAATCTGTAAATTTGAATGGCGAGACCAAATTCAAAGTCACCACAACGTCAGGTGATTTCAGAACCCCTAGATGCCGAGAAACGAAAGCCCAAAGTGTCTGGATAGATAAAGTATTGACAAACTATGAAATCGCATACGTGGTCCGGCTGAAGCCCGGAAATTGGTGACGAAATTGCATTCACTTCGCAGAGACCTCCAGAAGAAGACTTATTAAATTGTGGGTTCGCGCATCAAGAAGATTAAATGTCAAAAGCTCCGAATAATTTCATCACTCGCTACCTCTACCTGCAGTTATTGTCAAGAAGAATGACTTCCAGATATTCAGCGTCCACATGGAGGGAAGTGTAGGATGAGAACGATCAAACTAGCACAGTCCAGTATTGGTCATGCATCCGACATCTCGTCCATTGTGTAGAGGAGAGTGAAGAGCCAATGAGAGCACAATGTGGAATGGCCAAATCAAACTCGAGCTCTGGTCTGTTTTACCATCCCGTTCGGCCAATACGAATCAAGAGATGGGAGGTTTTAGATAGAAAACCAAATCCGAGCCAAATGTAGACCACTGCGTGAGTTATAGCGGTCGTGACAGCGCAGAAGCTTCCTGTCCCGAAAAAACAGTTCAAATGTCATTGAGAAGACATGCAGTCCCAGCTGTCGCCGATCCTCTACATCTTTTGGTCTGAACTGATTCTAAGGAACGGAAGTGAGGAAAATTAAAATTGGATCCGATGATGTGGTGATGTAGAGAGGTGGATCCGAGCAGCCCTTCTTGAAGGCGAAAATTTTGCTGGATGACAGCCCTAGAGAAATCAAACAGCATTACATTTCTCAAAAGATAATCGGCCAAGGCCCGTTCGGTGACATCTTTGAAGTCATAGATGCACATCGTCCACGGGTGAGATTAGCAATGAAAGTCCAGAAGAAGAAACTCTGGATAAATCAGGGATCTCCAGCGGAGCAAGCGCTGAAGCTGTTCAAAGAACTTCTGATTCTGAACAGAATACTCCCCAGACACCCGAACATAGCCCGAATCCAAGATTTACTAATAGGCCCCAACAGCGTTTTCATCATCCAAGAGCTGTGCTCGGCGAAAACCCTCGATGACTTTTACCCCGTCGCTACCGAGGCCAGCGGGCGCAGGATCTTCAGACAGATAGTCGACGCAGTTACTTTCATCCACCATCACGGAGTAGCCCACTTGGGCTTGCAAGGAGAAAACATTCTCTTCGCTGAGCCTGATTTCAAGGAATGCAAGATCATAGACTTCAGCTCCTCAGTTTACAACCCAGACTGGGCTACACTAGTTCACAATAATTTCAACCCCCTCTCATGGTTCTTACCCGACGAACTCACAATTCCTCGGGATAAAAGGCTGGATGATGTAAAAAACTTGGGAAGAATCTTGCATTGCATCTTGGTCGGCCAAAAGGTCCAATACCGACTATACACACCAGCACTTTTGGGGCAAAGTGCTGACAGGCTAATGGCAGCCGCAAACAAACCCCGAAAGGAATTGTTCGGGCCCCAAGCGTTCCATCTGCTCAAAATGATAGGCCCGCCTCCATTCGGACCTTCACGAGATCAAGACTTTCCGACCATGGAGGAGATCCGTCGGCATACGTGGCTTGTAAATTGAGAATAAACCTTGTCTGCCTGTTGTAGGGGAAAACGTAATCAGTTCAATTGATGGTTTGTGAAACAAATTTCAAATTAGGAAGCTTAAGACAAGTCGACGATCTGTCTGTGAAGCTAATTTATCGCGTATGTGAAATTGCAGTATGAATCTGATCCTGAAGATTTCCAACAGTTACGCACACGCTTGAAGCAGCATCGCATATAATACCAATTATCGTTAGATTTGAAGACGGATGTTTGTAATCAGCGATGAAGGCTGGATCTCACCGGGTGGATATCTACGTCTAGAGGCAACAGAGAAGCGGACTGAGTACGCGAGGCCGGCAGGCACTGTAATATGAAATAATAATTTTAAAAAAATTTCCACGAATTTTTCCAGATACTCAATAATCATGCTAAAAAATGTATGTTTTTGCATTTTTTTTCTATTTTATGATTAAAATATATTTTGTAAGCTTTAAACTGTTTTGTTTTGGTAATTAGATAAGCCCGTGACTGAAAACCACGTTATAAATCAAATGTGAATAGTAATTACTATTTGAATTATATGGAAAACTTATATTTAGTGTTATGTTATTTTGATATTACACTCTGACCATACTAGCCCTTTGCGGAGATAAATTGGGTGTTTAGTGGGATCATCTTTTGGGATATTTATCACTCTCCATGATCAATGCAAGCTTGTAGTGCTACTGATGTTAGATATATCAGCACCTCCAGGTCTGAAACTGTAAGTGGGGATAGTAAGCTTTCCAAGTTTACTGCCTTCTTCTCCTCGTGAAGGAGGAAACGAGACTCGTAATTAGACTCCCAAAATTGATGAATGATCTCGAAGCGGACGAGAAAATGCTTTCAGTTTAAAATAGAATAGAATTGGCACAAATGCTGTAATCTGGCTGCAATATGAACTGTATACTGAAGCGGATGTCCACAATCAAAAAGCAAGACGTTTGGGATTCTCATACAGACTGACAAGGGAACATCGTATTATTATTTCCACTCCAAAATATGTGTCAGATATTCTACGGACGGATCAGACGTTTTGCATTGAAATGAAATAAGATTGAGGTTTGGAAATTCCGCTGCATTTTCACACATATTCTCACATGCACAATATCTACATGGCCTCTCATGAAGATGTTTACAATGCTCGTTACCAGCCAGCTACTGGTTAGCGTGGTCGGTGAAATGTTCAAGCTCTATCTTCCTTGCAGATGATGTTCAGAACAGTGGAAAGGTACAAACTTGAGTTTCAACTCGATGCGGGTCTAAAATGCAAGCCTGATCCTATTTTATTCAACCTACTCGCAAGCTCCCAAAAAATAATTTCACCGGAACAAGTCGGGCATATGCATAGTCTACCATCCGAACGTAATATTCAAAAATCCGGACTCGCTCTGAAATCTGGACGAAAGTTCGAGATATTGGCAAACGCTTTAGTGCCAATCTGAAGCCATTTTGTATCAGAATCGTCCAGCGCCGCTACACTATCCTTCGCTAGACTTTTCTCAGGCTCCATCTTCTCAGAAGAAAAGATCCTCGTCATCCTTCGTCACAGTCATTCCAGAGCTGGAGCCGGAAACCCAACGCGGCCCCTCCTCTTCTTTGAGGTTCAGATTTTGAGTACGTAAGTGGGCAAGTTCCGCAAGCCACTCATCCAAAATCCTCAGTTCCTTTCTGATTACTTTTGGTGGCTGAATTCGATGTTTTGCTATGGGCAACTCGTCGATTCACATGAGACATTCACGCGAGGGAAAACTACCAAAGCTTCGGGATCATGAGAACGCTGTTCGGAAACGACCGGCTCATCCACTCCAAACCTGAACTCGAACTGGAAGTCATGACTTCATGGAGTCTTCAAACAATCTGAAATCTTCAATTTCTAGAAAGAGAGAAAGAGGTCTGATTTTTAACTTATATAGGAAGTAGAGCTGGTATGAGAGACAATTCAGTGCGCTAAGTTCCCAGGATCAATGCATGGTGAGTGGTCTGCTACCTGTCAGTAGTCAAATCCAATGACCTCGTAGTCGTTAACTCATCACAATTCTCTATCTAAACAGTTGAAGGACATTGTCAGAATTGGTTCCATGTCGACAAGTGAGAGCAGTGCGTGCTGAAAGGATGGCTACATCAACAGTTTCAATCATTTTGCGTACTTGCAGTCCAAATCCAGGAGATCTATGTAGTGTATAATGATTGAAAGAATTGCCGATTAGGTGAAATTTCCACTCACTGAGAAAGATTGACCGAGAGATTTCGTTAGATTTCGTTAGATTTCGAACTCTGCAGACGATGTACCAGTTGTTAGATACCCCAACGTTCAACTCGTAGATGCTATCGTATGTTCACGTGAAAAAGGAATGATGATGACATGATGACGCCAATTCAACAGGCTTTGCCTCATTCGCACATTATACGCAAGTGTCTGCTATTCAATTGATTTGGATGATTTTACTTGTACTTTCTGGCAGGCTTCAGGCTACCGTGCTATGCTTTAAGTGATAATTGTCCGTTTTATATCAATAAACAATAAGTATCAGTTGAGCATCTTGTAAGATCTTTCCGGAGTATGAATGCTTTTCTTGGTCTATAACACTTCCGCTTGCAAAGGAAGCGTCGTTCAGATGGGTCAAAACTTGGGGTTCGCACTAGTTATTTTCCACTTTCAAAAGGAAATAAATCATAAAGTCTCTTTTGGCTTTCAGTATAAAATTTTGATTTGAAGGAAATGTTTTCAAGTAGATCTGAAGATCTACATGAACCCAGCACTGTGATCATCAGTGTCTTCTCCAGAGGTAATATTACATGATCCTCGTCCACTACCACACTTGACTTCTTGATGCATACCGTTCTTTGTTTAGAGTCCCTTATGATAGTATTGGATCCGTCTAAGTTATCTATAAAACAATATTGGCATACATGTACCGAAATTCTTGTAAAATCCTCATTTAGCCCTTGCAGACTTGTTCGTACGCAGCAAACATGGACAGACTGAAACTTTTTCCCTGTCCTCAGAATGACCATTACACGTTCAGCCTCATACGCTCAAAATGATTGTAATCACTATTTATGATACATTTATGCACATTGCAAATTCCTCCGTCACCGAAAATTATACATCAAACATAACACTACTATATACATGCCAAAGCTTCTCTTTGGCATGTGACATGCAGATTTTACTGATGTTTTTTAAAAGTATACGTCAAATTCAAAAGTTCTGGATTCATTGTAAGTATTTACGCATTTATCTTGCAAATTATTATCTTCTTCTATGATTGTTCCATTTAACTTGCGTTTAAACAAAGCATGGTTACCGTACCTAGCCTCTTTCTTATCAATATAATAGTGGGAAAAATGAAGCTTTATTGGACTCTCAATTTTTATGGAATTTATGGTTTGCTCTCATGTCAAATATATAATAAGCTTATGAAAAAAGGAGTATGTGATGGTTGAGGAACTTGTAGTTACAAAAAATCAGATACTTTTTTGTGTTAAAAGATATTATTTCTGTGCCAAATGATCCAAGTTTGAATAGGAAGGAGAGTACTATAACAAAGTACACTTGTCATTCAATTTCAACTCATGTATACTCAAATTTTGCAACAAACAAATTTATGCCGTAATGTTCGTTGTATCTCTAACACTCCTAGAGAACTATGAGAGCTCAAAGTTGCAGATTGTGCTAGGTTGATTCACATGATTAAGAAAGCTATGGAGAAATGCATAAAATCGTAAGAAATATGGAAAGAGTGATCATAGAGATTTTGTATGGAAGATTTGTTTCATCAAGGGAGTTGTATCATTTTTTTTAAATGAAACAATTTTCTTCAATTATCGCATGAGATAATGGAATAGTGAGTGAACATATCATGCAACAAAGTGGAATCAAGCATTTTTCTAGACTCTTTATTAGGTATCAATACGGCGTTATAATAACTTGAGTGAAAGTCAAGCACGAAATCACAAGACACACTTTCATTCATAAACTATTTATATAGCTATGTGTAACTTCATCATGTTCATAAAAAATGAGCGTTTCAATCTGATGAATAGACTTTCATTGCAATCTTGTTTAGAGTCTCTCAGTTTTCAAATAAGATACTCATATAGCCATTCTGTAAAAATCTTCAACTCAATTCTAAACATATCATAAATGATAAAAATGACTTCAAATGAGGTTTCAATACAACCATCCAATCTTCATCAATAGCCTATACAACTATTTTTTCTTAAATATGTATATTACATGACATTTTCACTTTTGTTTCTAAAATGATAAAACTATAAGCAAAAGAATATAAAAAATATATAACTAACCAAATTCAGTGTCAAATCATAACACATCTGAATTTTTGTTAAGAACATTTAAACTCCAGTCATCATTTCTTGCAAAAGTAACGGAAAAGTGATTTTATAAGTATCTCTTTAGAGGTAATCTGAAACGCAATATAGATTTTTAGATCTTTCTCATGTATTTGAAGCGCATAAATTCTCAAAGAATGAAAAATTCAGTCATTGAATATATTTATAAAAATAAAAAAAAATTATGCTATAAAACAATTCTATTTTATTTGAAAAAAAACTATATCATAGCATTAGATACTTGACTAGAGGTAAATATTGAATGAGATGATTAGGAATAGAATTAAATAAAATATTTATGTTAATCAAAATTTTACTTAAAATCTAAAAAACAGGAGTAAAAATGAAAATTATGACAAATCACTACTCAACTTAACAACAAATTAGTCTTTTATAAAAAATTTCAGCATAATTTTTCAAGATTGTTTTTCAAGTTAATTCTAAATGATTATTATATGATTAAAAAACGTTATTCATATTTTTTTGACATTACTTGTACTTCAATGCAGAAATTGTTGAAATTAAACCACATAATCTATTTGCAAATTGCATAATTTTTGATCAAAAATCATTCAAATGACATAAAAAAATTTATGAATTTTGAATTGTAGATCCTCCCACCATGCATTCACCTTCCAATATTCCTACTTCACATTGTTAAGTTTGCTTGCACATGGTGATCTTCACATCGGTCATTGTGATTCTCAGTACACAGACAATCCAGGACTACAAGTAGGCATTAACACCTACTTAGGCTTTATAGACACCTACCTTCCGCTGGTCGTGGTCAGCGTTTGCAAATTGGAGTTGATGCGAACGACCGAGATTGCTTTTCTGGTCGCTCACAAGATGCTCTGCCGATGACATATTTGCAAGAACGTGACGGCAAAGCATCGAACACGCTTCACCGAGAAGAACCAGAAGACGTTCATGACGTTCTCACTGGTGATGCGAGCGGGCACAGAGGACGAGCTGCCGGAGAAGCTGTTGCATATTCAAATGGAGTGGATAAGTAACTAGCCGCGTGCTATGCAGTACGTGCTTTCATGGATGCAATACAAGACATACTTCGTTGGTTCATATGTTGACAATATTTTGCATTTTGAGTCGTCATCCTTGTAGCGC